AATTGTGTCACGGCTGCCAGCGCTGGCCCAAGTGCCGCTAACTGGAGCCCAAAACGAGGCCCGGCGGCCCCCTCGCCGTCATCTCGCCAAGTTGGACGGCCATTTTGGCCTCCGCCACTGTATAAGCGCGCTTATTTTTTGATTGTTTTGGGCTCGGCTTGTGTCCCCAGAGAGGTGGACAGACTTTTTCTTTGATCGCCAAAGAGAATGTGGAGTCAAGTCGGAGCCCGTTTGTGTTGCGATTGTTGTCTTTTTGGGTGAACGGGAGCTTATCGAGCTAACTTTGGCCTCAATCGCAGGGGACATGAAGACAAATGACACTCCAAACGTGAAGTGTTCAATGAACCACGTTTAGTGGGGGTGGGAGAAAGCTTCGCATTGTTTGTAAAATCACTTGCTGGGAACTCAGTCTAGGAGATTTTTTTTTTTTTTTTGATAGCTGGCAAAATCCACTCGTTTTTAATCCTTCTCAGGCGTCGGCCATTTTGTCTCGTGCTGACCCTCGCCGTCGACTGGCTCAGGTCGCGACCGGTCGCGGCTCACCTGTGACGTCGTGCAACCTGAGCCCTGAAGGCATCTGCGTTGTCATGAGAAGATTAGCGGCACCCGAACTTCAACTTTTAATGCTGGCTCCGTCGTTTGAATTAAATGGTCTTTCTCGCACACCCCCAGAACCGCAAGTTGCTGACTTCACATGCGTCATCGATCTGAACGCCGATGCCGTGTTCTTTCATCTGCTGATGTGACAAAAAAAAAAAAAAAACAGTGTGAAAATGGAGATAACCCAGATCATCTCCGGTTGAGCTGTTCCCCTTTTTGTCACAGCAGATTAATGATAGTCGTCACTCCGTGTCATGTCGCCCCAGCCTTTAAATATTCTCAACCCGTCTGCTTTGACTCATCATCGCGCGGTATTGAGTTATAACTTGAGACGCTACGGCGGCAGTCGGACCCCAACCGCTCATGTGTGAGCCTATCGGGGTGGGGAGATAAGACCGGATTCGTTTGAATGGTCAGCTTATATTGCCCGGTGCGTCTGGCAATGAGCGATAGCTTCGTTCCAGCTTCTCAAGGAAGGGTGGAGGAAGTGAAAGGAGTCTTCAAAGCTCGCAGTTCAAGTTCAGGAGGAAAACTGTACAAATAGGCAAGTGTCACGTTCATCGAGTGTGTACGTCCCCACGGCACAAATATGCTTCGCTGAAAAAAAAATTGTATCAGAACTTTATACCTCAAAGGAGGCCACAGTTTTGTTTTTTTATGTGAATGCTGCTATCACATTTGCTTGTCAATAAAAAGACAATAAAACCTTTTTTTTTAATCGTATTGATCATTACAGAATAAAGATCGGAGCCGCTTGAACTCGTCCAAAAGAAAGATCTGACAATTCCAGCATCGAAATAGTCGCCATTAAGTGGCTCGATGACAACCGTCATTGGCCGTCTCCATCGTGTAATTGAAGCACTTGTGACATGGCCGTCTCAAAACAATGTTAACAAAAAAAGAAACGACCATTGGCATTTGCGCAGCCTCATTAAAGATTGAGCTTGGTAGCCATTAGCCAAATAGCCGCCATTAGCGTGACTTCTTAAAAAGGCGCAGCGCAGAATTTCAATATGTCAATCGCGTTCGTCCCTTTGTGCTGACATGACTTTGTGCTCCTCCGGAGCGGCATTTTTCATACAAAAGATCAATTCGAAGCGAACTCGCCCGGCAAAAGCCGGACGCCTTATTGTTGCTTTGCTTTCATGTCCGATGAGCGCATCGTTTTCGGTCGGCAGTACGCCTCCACGTGTCAACATCTTGACCAAAAAAAAAAAAAAAAAAGCAGCCCGTTTTCTGCATCCGAAAGTTTGCGGGGGAGTCAGCAAGGAAATCTCATTAAAAGTGAGACTTGGTGCATAGTTTACGTCATATGAAAACTTGCTCCGAGGTGTCTTGACCTGCGAGGTGCTTTCGTCAAATTGCCCCAAGGACCAAGAATTATTGCACACTTTGCTCAGGATTTGTTTTGCTGAAAACGCGCATTATTATTATTTTTTTTTTTTGTAGGGGCACCGTATATTGAGAACTAATTTCTAACACAACATATTTGGAACAATATTGACTTATAACTTCCTATCTGTGGATGTCAGAAGAAGCATGCGCTACCGAGTCCTTTTTCCAAAAGCAGATTAGCCGCAGCCGTATTCAAGAGCCCATAAAAGCCACTTTGACATGTGACATTCAAAGTATGCCCGTTGCTTTTCTTTTCTGCATTCTGACGGGTTTTTTTTTTCCCCAGGTTTTCAAACTCTTGTCATTTACGACAGAGTAAGAGCAAAGCGGTGTCAACAGTTGGTGAAGCTCAGGTTTAAAGTTAAGTGCAGGGCTCCACTGACGCAATTAAGAAAAATGTCACTCACGAGTAGCGCTTTTGTTCCCTGGTTGGACCTCACGTCTTCAGGCCAACGGCCGCTCAACCCCGAGTCCGCTGACATCAATCAAGAGCTATTTCAGGTTCATTTCCAAAGTTTATTTCCAGGATCAAATTATCCTTTCATGGTTGTAGAGAGTACTTCATGTTGCGTCACATACATGCTAATTTGCAAAAGGAAAAATGGGAACAAGATGTATACAGTGGTACCTCTATTTACGAACGTCTATTCATACGAAATTTTAGAGTTACAAAACGCCTCAACAGGAAAATATTGCCTCGAGTTATGAAAGAAATGTCAAGATACGAAAGGTAAAAATTCTTAATGGGCTGCTACTCACAGCTCCGAATTTCCTGAACGCAACAAACTTCTAGCTGCTCTGCTATTGGCTATTACCAAGCATCTTCTTGGCATCCCATTGGCTAAGAGGGACCTCTGCCATATGTGTCTAGAGAGATAGATATGTGTCTATGCAACATCGTCGTCATTCGCCCCTCAGGCCATGAGGCGTTCCAAGAGTTTACGTTAATGTGAATCACCCAGAAAAAGTCTTCACCAGTCTGGCGATCGCTCACTATGCTGATGTTTGCCATGGACATTTTCAAAGGACTGTTAAAAGCCGACCAAAGCCAACGTCCTTGGATCAGTGCTTTACAAAATGGCAGGCAAAAAACACTTCTGAGAGAGAACATGAACGAAAGAGGGCAAAAAACGATGAGGGCGCAGTTCGAAGTTAAATGACCATCATTTTTATTCATTATTCGATTCTTTGTTTTTTACATGATGCGCAACTCTCATTTATCGTGCAATAATCTAATTGTAACATGTAGCCGTGACATATTTTGATGCATTTTGAAGCTTCATAAAACATTTATGTCTGAATTTTGCAGGTCTTGGAACGGATTAGGGCATTTACATGGAAAACGCGTCTCTACTTACAACATTTTCGAGTTAAGAAATTTCTTCCAGACCAATTAATTTCATAAGTAGAGGTACCGCTGTATTGTAATTATAAGTTCTATGTTTTCCGACCTGTGGAGCCGAGACACGTCTTTTGCGTGGGAATACCCTCGTGGCTATGCCCACTGCATTCTCATCTCAGTTTAGCCCTGACTCGAAATTTAGGCTCGTATGATTGAACGCAAAGCCGATACGTTTGCCAGCAACTGCGACTAGCTCTGTTGCGTGAATGCCGACGTATGGATGGTTGTACATTTTGCCGTTTCAACTGAAGGGAACTCATTGGTTCTGCCCGCCACCATATGCCACGGGCGTCGGTTCGTGTTCTGTCAACTCGAATGGGAAGGACACCTGCAAAGTGACGCACCGCGTCCCCGGAAGGCCGCTCGACCAGCTGCAAGCGCCGATTAACAATTTAAGCGACATCTCCTTCGCAAGTGCAGACAGAGCTCACAAAATTGACGAGGTGGAAGGCGAGCAAATTTTCAACTAACTCCTACAACGCCTTTTTTTTTGTTTTGTTTTTTTGCCGCTACGCTAACCTGTTTGTTTCCTCTCATCGTCATACATTATTCCTCATCGCCGGCGCTTTTATGTCTGATCACCGAGCGCGCAGCAGATTGCCTCCAAAACATGGCCGCATTGTTTTGCCGGAGAGTCCTAACAGCATGCTAATGGCGGACACTTGTCGCCCCGGCAACCAGATGTCTTGTGAGATACCGCTGTTGTTTTTCCAACGAGCTGAATCATAAATTGTTAGCCGGGGATGATGACGTTTGTCCCAGTTTATTTCATATCTTTCGTTTCATGTCTTTTGTTCTTCCTGAAATCAATTCGGCGAGACATTGTGTGCGCTCGCACGTTTTGCGTGCGTTTGTGTGAACAACCGCAGAGGCACAGGCAGATGCACCCGATTTGCCAAATTAATGATTCATTCTCGGAGTAAATCAAATGTGTTCTTGGTCGCGTTCCGGTCGATGCGATGGCCACGCCTCATTGCTGTCGGTCTCCTTAACGCCGTCTCTGTCCGTCTTCTTCTCCGCCTTCCAGTTGGCATCGTGGGACTCCACCCGGGGTCTGAACGGAAGCTTAAAGGAGAGCCGCATCGAGAGCGGGATGCAAGGGGTGACGCTCAAGATCGTCACGTTGCTGGTAAGTCGGATTTCCTGCTCCGATTTGAGGTTGCGGCAAATAGCCGCGGGCCACAACATTAGGTACACCCGATCAGAAATCTTGCCACGACCACCACCGACCCGTGGCTCAGTTTTTGCTTTCAAATGGTCTCTGAGGCTCGGTTTTACACGGACAACGGTGTAGTGGTCAGTCAGGTGGTTCTGGGTTTGATGCCTGGCGAGGTTACAGGAACAGGAACCGTGCCCTAGCGGGTGCAGGAAGGCTTTCTACGCCAGGGGAATAGCGAACAAAACAAAGGGCAAACCCGCCGGGGCGTGCAGACGCCGTGACAAAGCTCGGCCACTTTGTCCCCCGAGAGGGCTTTTCGAGATCTTTTCCCGCACCGATTCGGGGGGCCCATCCAAACCCTTCAAAGTCACTTTGCCCTCCGCCAACTTTCCTCCCCCCTCCTCCCGCTCACCGCGCTTCCTCTTCTTCTTCATGCATGGCTTCCCTCACAGTGTATTTATTCACACATAAGTTCAGCTCGGCACCGTCGACTTTCTCACGCCATAGGCCCCGGCGAATCCACTCTTTGCCGCTTCTGCCGTCTCCTCCGCCTCTTGCTTTTTGGTCCGCCTTTAATTCCTCTCTGACATTTCATAAAGACGGGCAACAGGCTGTGGCAAATTTAAAAAAAAAAAAAAAAAAGCAAAAAGAACTCCCATTTCCACAGTTGTGAACCGCCGCCGTTGCCACGGCAACATCCGTGACAGGTCAACGGTAGCATAAGAGAGCGTTTTCTCAACTCGGGCTGCCTCAGAGGCTGTTCAAATTTCTTCTGATGACTGAACGAGTCCTCGTCGAGCGGTGCATCGAAATGAATGATTAAAGCAGCACTAATGAACTTTTTTTTTTTTTTTTTGGGTGCCCGTGTGTGCGTTTTTCCTCGCTTGGGCTTGCCGACAATTGCGACGTGTGATTGATTTTCAGGCCTTTCGGGTAAACACAAATGAAAAGTGGTGAGCACAAATTTCTTAAGGGGACAAAGACACGGACAGAAGCTTCAAGAAGTCGATTGAAAAAGTCAAACTTGAACGATTCTGAAAAATAATGAACACAAGTCACAGCTCATTTGAACTGTGATTTTTTTTTTTCTCTCCCTGACTATTACAGTTGCAATTTTATACTCTATTTTTTTCAGGGTCCTAATTCCATGTTTTGTTTTGGTTTTTTTTTTAATCAAACACAAGTTTGATTTAATCTGAAAAACTCTCGTTGACAGGAAGAGCCTTTCGTGATGGTGGCGGAGAACATCCTGGGCCAGCCCAAGCGATACAAGGGCTTCTCCATCGATGTCCTGGACGCCCTGGCCAAAGTCTTGGGCTTTAAGTACGACATCTACCAAGTCGCGGACGCGAAGTACGGCGCGCCGCTCCCGAACGGGTCCTGGAACGGAATGATCGGAGAACTCATCGGCAAGGTCGGTGTGCTTTTTGCGTGGCGGGCAACCGGCGTCCACGTGTAGCTGCAAAGCATTTCTCTGGCGGCGAGGCCGCATCTTCTTGTTTGGACAAACGAAAAAGAGAGAGCAATTATGGAGTTTGCCGTAATGGAAGCAAAAACAGGAAAGCATCACACGGACCAAAAGCTTTTATCTGCAAATCACTCGCTCGGATTCGTACCAGAAAGTAGAAGGACGAAGGTTTTGAGGGCATGACTCTGAATGGTCATATTCATTCAGCTCCAGCCTTAATGGAGTGACCGCTTATTCTTTTCCATCCCACTGATGCAAAACAAGTCGCTGGAACTTTTTTTTTTTTCCTCTCATCTGCTCAATCTTTTATTTGGCGTCGAGGCAGAAGGCTGCATGAAGCATTTGGACTTCATAACAGTCCTGACCTAATTAAGACCCCCGGCTGGCTTGCACAGAGTTGAGCACTCCGCAGACTCCGTCGGGAAAGGCTGGCCGAATACAAAAATCGTTTTCCCAGAAAAGGAGGGACCAGACGCGATGCATTCGCCATCAATCAGATTCCCCGTTCACAAGCCGCGTCGCTTTCATGTCCTGAGAGTCGTTTTGCGCCATCTAAAAGACTGGCAAGTATTTGTTTTATATGGAACGCCGTAAATGAAACATTGTAAGTTCACAGGAAAAGATATTTTATTCTGGATCAGGCAAATTTCTTCTGCATATTTGTTTTTGAACACATTCATGACACCGGTCTCACAGTGCAGAGGTGCAGGTTTCAATTCCGGCTGCGGCCTCCCTGTGTGGAGTTTGCATGTTCTCCCCGTGCCTGCGTGGGTTTTCTCCGGGTACTCCGGTTTCCTCCCACGTTCCAAAAAACATGCATGGCAGGCTAATGGAACACTCAAAATTGTCCCTAGATGTGAGTGTGAGCGCGGATAGTTTTTCATCTCGTTTGTACCTTGCGATTGGCTGGCAACCAGTTCAGGGTGTGTCACCCTACTGCCCGAAGACAGCTGGGATAGGCTCCAGTATTCGATAAGATCGGTATTGGCCTGATACTGATACCTTGTATCAGTAGTCACCCGTAATAAAACACATATATTTTTACAGAGGGACGAGTAGTCGTGTTCTTGTTCGTAGTCACGTTGTGAATGTCGTTGAGCAGAAGGCGGACCTGGCCGTGTCGGCCATCACCATCACCCCGGAGCGCGAGCGCGTGGTGGACTTCAGCAAGCGCTACCTGGACTACTCGGTGGGCATCCTGATGCGCAAGTCGGAAGAAAAGATCAACATCTTCTCCCTGTTGGCGCCGTTCGACCTTGCCGTGTGGGCCTGCATCGCCGCCGCCATCCCGGTGGTGGGCGTCATGATCTTTCTGCTCAGGCGCATCCAGGCCGCGCGTAGCCAGAACAACGCGGGCGGCCACCCGCAGCCATCGCCCTCCACCTCGCTGCAGAGCGCCATCTGGATCGTCTACGGAGCTTTTGTCCAACAAGGTAAGTTTTCACATATTTCCTTTCGGGTCAAATTTGGACATGATTTTAATTACACGATACAAGGAAGGCTGAAGCACTTGAATTTTTTTTTGGGGGGCTGGCAGGGGAATAAATAAAAAATGAAATGCATACATGAAAGATGTCCTGGCTGGCCCACCTGTCTCATAGTTGGCAGGCGAGCCAGCATTGCCAGTTTGCAATGATTACAAGCCGGTGCATCATCAGCACCATTTGGAAGCAAAAAAAAAAAAACTTGACGTATGAGATCAAAAGGGTGCCCAAGACACTTAATGCGATGAAAGAGAGCAGAAAAGGTGAGTAATGATCAAATCAATTAGAAAACATGCATTTAAGAGCCTGTCGCCACTCAGCCATCCGTCATTGAAACAAATGCACAGCCTTGCATTTTTCTCCTCCGGCGGCGTCCTCGTCAAGGACGCCGGGCCGGCTTTCGGGCTGCTCGGCAGGCAGCGACCACGTCCCCCTTTTTGGACAACTGAGCAACATCCATCATTGACTGGCGAGGCACCCAAAACAACGTGAATTTTGGAAGGGAAGAAAAAAAAAAATAGATATTGCCTTTGACTCCCAGTGCTGCCAGTTTTGGTCTTTGTCAAGCAGACGGTTTGTTTCCCGGGAAGACGCCGCTCGCTTTGATATGGAGCCGAGCGCTGATGCATTGTGGCTTTCTTCGAGAGCATGAACTCGACTACGGCGGCAGCCGTCATAAAGTCGTGAGATGTCAACATTTTTGCAGTACAGACCCATCTCTCCGGAAACTTCAAGGGAGACAAAAGAATTTTTTTTTTCCTCTCCTTCAAAGTGAACAGTTCGCAGGTGTCTGAAAGGGATCAAGAATAGGAGCGGGCTTTATACGCCATGGTGAGGGCAATGGCGATGGCCCACGGGCCACGTATGACCCGCGTTCTACTCAAATGCAGCCCACTGAGCATTTTCATCATCAAAAGTTTTGCAATATTTGTTGCATTGTTGTGGATGACAGGCCGAAAATGGCCCCCGGGCCATAGTTTGGAGATATTAAAAATTATATCATTTCTACATTGTTTTTATTGTGAATAAGAACATCTTGAAAATATTTCCACCATATATTTTATTTTTTTAATTAATTAAAAATAATAAAATACAAAATATTTCGGGTTCTTTTTGAAAAAAATATTTTTTTCTTCCTTAAATGAGTGGTCAAAATTTGAAATACTAAAAATAAAAAAAAAGCAATTTAAATATATATTTTGTTTAGTTTATCTCAAATAACTGCTTAATAATACAATGAAAATTGATTGAGATTATATATTACATATTTTGCAGGCACGTATCAACAATATATGTTCTGTGCGCCCCTGCTAGTTTTAAACGTGGTACTCTGATGAATTCTGCCCTCGTGGAATCTGAATATGAAAATGACCTCACAGTTGCTCAGGGAACAACCGTCGCAGCTCACCTCTTTTGTGGGGTTGGTCATGTGACGTTGCAAAAACGTCTTTCTGGCCTCGGTGAAAGATACTCTCCACTCTTCGCTTTTGGAGGCAGCAATTTGTGCACGACACTGCATGTTTGCGTGACTTGGCCAAACTCTCCTCATTTTGCACTTGATTTATGGGCAGGCGCTCCCAATCTTGGCGTCGAAAGAGTTTAAAAAAAAAAAAGGGCATTCTAAAATAATATTTCGGCTGGAAGTCATTCGGAGCAGCAAGTGGAAACGGGGGAATGGTTTCCTGCGCCCGACGACAAAGAAGTTTATTTGGAAGAAGAAGACGTAGCGCCGCGCTAGATCCACTTGACTTTCACGATGCACCTTTCACATCCGATGACCTTTAAAGATCACTCAAAGCCGCGTGTAATAAAAGTGACGGATGCCCGAGCGCCGCGCTTCCGACAAAGGCGTTCGCTTCCGTCCCGAGGCCGCAGCTGCGGCGACGGCGACGCATTCCAGCCAGATACGCTCTCATCACATCATTTTGCGCCGGCGCCGGCTTCCTCGTGACATTTCTACAGCTCCATCTTTTTTTTTTTCTTTCAAAAACTCAAATTTACCCTGACATTTCTCTCGTACACTTCATAAGCTCTTTTTGATTTCATATGGAGAGGGAACGTCGAGTCAGAAATGAAATGTGCAAAACTAATGTGATGAACTGGTCTTGGTCAAAAAAAAGCTCAACAGACATGAAAGGAAGAAAGTTGGATGAACGAACACGACTATTAATGAAGGCTCAACTCGACGGAACAAAACTTTCTGATGTGGCTTCCAACGTAGTCGTGCCTCGAGCCACGAGTTTAATTCGTTCCCTGAACACGCTTGGAACTCTTTCCCCGCTGAAATGAATGCAAGTATCCCCCTAAAACAGCAGGGGGAAAAAAAAAATTAATAGCCCCCGTCGTTTGGGGACGCTTGTTCGTCCGCTTGTTATTGAAGTCAAACTCTTACTAAAATTCATTTTTTGGAAAAAAAAAGAACTAAAATGGAGCAAAAACTAATAACTCCAGTTGATATTAAAAATAATCAATAAATACATAAATAAATGAAGTAAAATAAAAAGATTTCCAAGTTTTTTTTTCTAATTAATACACCTGGTCTAAAAACGAATGAACAAATATCTGACTTTGAAAAACTAAAGTCAATTGTTATTTTTATTATTACTTTTCAAGATTATTACTATTATTATTAATTATTATTATTACAACCCTGATTTTAAACACATTTAGCATTTACGTTTGTCGGCACGCAGGCAGCGACTCCATCTTGGGCTCGGTGGCGCTGCGCATCGTGATGGGCAGCTGGTGGCTCTTCACCCTCATCGTTTGCTCGTCCTACACGGCCAACCTGGCCGCCTACCTCACCGTGTCCCGCATGGACAACGCCGTACGGTAAGACGCCATCTTGATACCCGTTTGTTGAATTCTGTGCGACCTCAAACTGTGTATGCCTCCGCATGTACCCGCACAGTTTTTGACGCCGATATGAAAAATGTCTTTCCTTTTTTTTTTTTTTTTCGAGCACATCAGGTTTTCGACATACGTTCGTTTTTTTTTTTTTTTTATTGACCTATAAAACCTTGTACCTTATTATTAGTAGTATTGTTGTTATGAAAATTTGATGTGCTACAGACAAAAAAAAAAATCAGTGTGGAAAAATCTATGTTTATGTTCATTTTTTTTTATCCATCCATCCATCCATTGTCCGATCCGCTTTATCCTCACAAAGGTCGCGGGACGTGCTGGAGCCTATCCCAGCCGTCCTCGGGCAGTAGGCGGGGGACACCCTGAACCGGTTGAGAGCCAATTGCAGGGCACACAGAGATGAACAACCATCCGCGCTCACACTCACACCAAGAGACAATTCAGAGCGTTCAATCAGCCTGCCATGCATGTTTTTGGAATGTGGGAGGAAAGTGGAGTACCCGGAGAAAACCCACGCAGGCACAGGGAGAACATGCAAACTCCACACAGGGAAGCCGGAGCCGGGATCGAACCCACGACTTCTGCACTGTGTGTTCGAGGCACTAACCACTGGCCCACTGCGGGGCCAGTTTTTTTTTTTTTTTTTTTTAATCCAACACTGGAGAAATTCGCAATTGACAGCAGCAAAGTCTGGAGGGAAGAAAGTAGAAAAAGTAGAAAACAATCACATAAAAAATGTTATTCCCCTCCCCCCAAAAAACTTTATAATAATTTAAAAATTGTTGACCAGTGTTGGATTTAAAAAAAAAAAAAAATCCTCCAATGAAAGGACAGAGAATTCCCTTTTTCAGTCGAGCCACTAAGGTGGAAAAAACTGAAAAAAAGTCAAACATTGCACTCGCACGTCACCTTCTCCTCGCTCATTGAGATTGGCCATCGTAATTTCCCCGCAAGGGTTTTGCCTTCGTCGCGTTGTCATGTTGTTTTCGTTGCGGAAAACTATCTACCTTTCCATTCAGCTAAATGAGGTAAACCGACTAAGTAGAAAAACATCACAGTAGGACTCAACATGCTGCTGAATGAATGAGTGTCAGTAGAAAAAAACAAACAAAAAAAAAAAACACTCTTTCTCAAGGCGTCGCCGTGCATGTGTTTGTGTCGTCTTGCATATTTCTACTCTGCCGCCAACTTGCTGCAAATCATAATTGTAGGAGAGCGAGGAGAATGAAAACATGGTGCGGGGGAGGGGGTGCAGTCTTGTCAAAATGCTCTCCCCGCTGTTCTCAGAAGCAACGGCTTTATAAATCATGTAGCCGATGTGGGATTATTTGAGGAGAACACGCAGTAATCTTTGTAAACACAAAACAATCCCGGGAAAGTATTACATGTTATTTGTTTGGGAGAGGACTCGAGGGCGGCGAAGAGCTGCGAGAAGAGGAGTGCGCAAAGACGGCTGATCATTTATTTATTTGGGGGGGGGGGGGGCAGACTGTTCAGAATAAAATAGTTGGGAATTTGAAAGCAGCTGTCGTTTTGCCAAAGACGAAAACTCACAAAGCCAATTAGTCATCGAGCACCCTTGAAGCGAACGGGGCACACCTTGGGTGATTCCATCGTTGCTACAAAGTAGCGCGTCCGCCTCACAGTGCAGAGGTGCCGGGTTCGATTCCGGCTCGGGCCTTCCTGTGCGGAGTTTGCATGCGTGGCTTTTCTCCGGGTACTCCCGGTTGCTCCCACACTCCAAAAAAAACCTGCGCGGCGGATTACTGGAACACTCCAAATTGTCCCTCGGTGTGAGTGTGAGCGCGGATGGTTGTTCGTCTCTGCGTGCCCTGCGATTGGCTGGCGACCGGTTCAGGGTGTCCCCTGCCTACTGCCCGAAGACAGCCGGGACCCTCGTGAGGATAAACGGATTAGAAAATGGATGGATAGATGGAACGTGGGGAGGCAAGAATTTTCAGACTATCCCCGAGGCTGGATGGGAAAGGTTCCTCCTCCCTTGAAATCTGATCTCTCAATACCTCACTGTCCTGATGATGAGCCTGCTGCGTGCACTCCTTGGGCGGGGAGCTCCATTTCGAGCTTTCCCCCCCTTGAACTGAGCGCTTCTCTGAATTCCGTTGCGTAAACAACACCTCGTAGCTCGCACGAGCGATCGCTACCCTCCCAATCGTTCTCTCTTTTCTGCTCTACAAATAATGCCCATCGCTCACTTGTCCTACTTTTAAAATCCCAAACCTGAGAGTCGATATAAAAAGCAGACCGTTTTACCAGGCAGGCTTAACAAGGGGCCGTTTGCAAGCCCCGTTAGAGTTCAATTGGAAAACCGTAAAAGCTCCTTTATGATTCTACAAGTAGTCAATTCTTTGTCTGCCTCGAGGGCCGTCCCTTGCTGCCAAAAAGCACACAGGGGGGATGTTTGTGCCCCAAAAAATTGCACAAAACCCTTCTGAGCAGAGTTGTCCATCAATTCTCTCATTTAGGGAGGCATCGAATCACGAGGGCCGTCCTCTTTCTTAGGAGAGAGAGATTCATGCGCGCTTGTTCACGATTTAAAACTGTTCCAAGGCATCGCGTGAAATTTGTCCAAATACTCCAAGAATTACAACACCCTTACTACATCCTGTGCTCGTCTTGCTGAAATGAGTCCCTTTAGACGGCGCAACTCTGTCTCGGGCATTCGTTACCATGACCAAGTTTATGGGTTTTTTAATCTGCCCAAATTCGGACTCAACAGCAGCCTTCATATCAGTCGGGCTCTCATTAGCATATTTGGTCTTGACATGCTCCATGCACTCTTTGACTTCATCCAAAAAAAAAATGTCCTTTCAGAATTTGCCAACAATAGCTTTTTCTCTTGCCATAAGAACGGCTTTCACCTCCCGGTTCTTCTTCCCCTCAGCGGCTGCAATTACGTACAGAGTTGATTCGTTTTAAGCGCACGGTTGTTCACCACGGCTCGGCTCGCTACAGTTAAAAGAAAATGTGGTTCAGGGAGAAAACAAATAATAATTAAAAAGTCATCACGCAGTTATTTTTTTTCCCCACTGCGGCAAAAGCTTGAAATGCAACCTGGCGAAAGAGGCCGCAGATGATAAACTAGCGAATCGCTTATTCCTGCTTTAAGTTTTATTCCGAGCTGCGCTCGAGAGACTTCTAATTAAATGGATGAATTAGCCCGACGTCATCAGCTGAGATAAGCTTTTCGATTTCCTTTTTTTTCGTTGTTGTTTTTTTTTTTTTTTTTCAACAGGTCAATCGTGGTTGTAAAGCCGGTGTGGTGCCGATGTGTTGCATTTCACTGTAGCGAAACCGATAACACACATTGTGTTTTCATTATCAGCAGCCTCATTTCCACAATCGTTGAATAGATATCAAACGCAAGGTTAAATAACTAGGTGTACAATGACTTTGTGCAAAATGCGACGTCATCTAACACCTTTCTCATGTCTGTTGGCTGAGGCGCGAGCCATGGGGCATCAATGGAAGATGTGTTTTAGGGGTGTACACATCGCTAGCGAGCGAGCTTGCTAGCTCGCGATGTCTACCTTTAGCTAACGAGCTAGCTCGCTAGCTAGCGATGTCTACCGTTAGCTAGCTCGCTAGCTAACAGACCACATCATCGTAACTAAGGACCCCGGTCCTTAGTAATGAGCATAAAATACTGTCTGTGTTCAATAATAGATGACATAAGATAAAGTAACCTTTATTCGTCCCACAATGTGAAAAGCAGTAATCGCGAATACAGCCAACCGAAAAGAAACAGAGCGTACGGTATATTCAGCTTCCAACCATTGAACCATCGAGTTATTCCGAGCTTATTTTTGAAAACCTGTTGAGCTAGATTGTGCACTCTTAAATCAGTGTCCTCGGGAGTTTCTCTCAGGAAAAGAAGTCCCATTTTCTCCTTCATAGGCCGCGCGGCACATCTGTGTAATGGCGTCATGAGAGAGTCATTTTCAGACATGCAGCACAAAAAGTACATTAGCGCATTGAGAATCGCAGGGATTCGTGCGGCACTCGTTCACAATGCCGACCCCTGAATTTCTCCTCGTCGACAGCGGGAGCGCGACGAGGCCGTTTGGCACGAGGCAGGGAAGCTACAAGTGTGGCTCATTTGCTTGATCAACAGCATGCCGATTCGAGGTTTACTCTGCTGCACACAAGGGCTCGGCAGTGCCAGTTGAACACGTAGATTGGGCTTGGAGCAAAGCCAAAATAGGGGTGCAAGGAAGCTAATGACCGCCGGCGCTGCCTCTCCAGGTCCTTCCAGGACCTGTCCAAGCAGGTGGACCTGGCGTACGGGACGGTGAGGGACTCGGCTGTGTACGATTACTTCCGAGCCAAAGGCACCAACCCCCTGGAGCAGGACAGCACCTTCGCCGACCTGTGGATGACCATCAACAAAAACAACGGCTACGAGCACTCCGTCTCGGGCCCATCGGAAGGCATCAAGAAGGTGAGACATGCTTGGGCCGCCGTTTTAGCGGGATTCCCTGAGAAGTTTGGGAGGACGTCGTGGCCGTCAAGTTTGATTGGAACTCTTTTCCAGTCAGTCCGTAGGTCACGAGTACGTCTCGTTCATTATTAACGCCACGTTTACTCACCGGCGTTGGTGAAATAAGTGATAAATGTCCTCAAGTGACTCACTCGCAGTCGCGAGGCAAACGAAGCTTCTTCCCCCGCGCGTGTTTCCGAGGGAGAGTCGACTTGGCAACTTGACGCGGTCCTAATGAGACGCGAGGCGCAGAGGCTTCGTTTGTTGCATTTGTTGACGGCGCCGTGGAATGCGAGGGGCGCCACGGGGAGCGACGTCACGGCGGTGAACGCGACGAGCAAGAAAGCGGAAATTCAAAAGGATGCCGCAGCCGTTCCCGTTGTCTCCTCCGTGTGCGCTCGCGGGCTGCCGGCGCGTTTCTCACTTTTCATCATTGTCATCGGCAAATGTCGCCTGCTTTTGGTCTCGTCACATTCGTGCACGCGTTTGCGTGTTCTTCGTCCGACAGCGGAATCGTGATTGCGCCGTCTGCGTTCAAACCTCGACAGCCGGAAAGGGTCGTACGCCGGACTGTACTTTTTTATTTAATTGATCATGATTTCAATAATTGTCAAAAACAATCAGGATTTCCGATTTTCTTTTTCCATGTTCGCTTAGCCCTAATGCATTGTACTTAAAAGTTAAATACAACTGAATTGTGTAGTGTGAAACCCAAATGACTCTCGAGTCCATCAAGTGAAACCTGTGGCTGCCGCGAGCACCTTTCAGGAAACTACATTTGGCATTAACGTACACATAATTGGGCCACGATGTGGAAGATCAGACCGCGAGGGGGGGGCGGGGGAAGTTGAACTCCAGAAAGTAAGGAAAAGAAAAATCCAATATATTGTGCGACACTAATGCAGCACATCAGGCAGCGCCGAAGTCATTCGGTTCCTCAGGAAAAAAGAAAGTGTTTTATTTTTGTGCTGTGCAAAAATCCAGATGTCGGCTCCCGTAATTATCCTTTGTGTGTCAACCATGTCTGTGTTGCGATGAATCTTTTCTTTGTTTTGTTTTTGGAGAAGCCGGCGGCGTTTCTGGGTGTTGTCGATTGATTAATGGCTTTTGCTTTGCCGAGTCGAGTTTTAAGATGCACTTATGGATGTCGAGTGACTCGTTTGGAGAAGCCGGCGGCGTTTCTGGGTGTTGTCGATGAATGGCTTTTGCTTTGCCGAGTCGAGTTTGAAGATGCACTTACGGATGTCGAGCGACTCGCATCTCCCAATGTGATTGTGCAACTTTCGACTCGGGTCGCATTTAACGCCGCCGTTTCTGATAATGGACGGAGCTGGACGCATTTTTGACGACGATGAGTTACGATTTCTGTAAAAAATAAATAAATCTCCCCCCTCCCAAAACACACCGCCCTTTGTGGCCCCACATGCGAGAAACCGCCACTCCCGTCACGAAATGTCAATGCAAACGGCAGGAGCGTGATGTCATGTTGTGGTGGATGCAGGCGAAGCGAGAGTCGTACGCCTTCCTGTGGGACATGGCGGTGGTGGAATACGCCGCTCTCGCCGACGACGACTGCACGCTGACCGTCGCCGGCAACAGCATCAGCACCAGAGGCTACGGCGTGGCTCTGCAGCACGGCAGCCCTTACAGGGACCTCTTCTCTCAGAAGTACGTACGCCGCCGCACGCCGTCGTTCGCTCCCCGAGGACCCGCGCCACGTCCTGTGCGGAGACGAGCGCGATCAGCGTCGCCGCGCTTTTAACTCTGAAGCCGCGTCGGGTCACGTGGTCGAGTCAGGGAGCGAGCTGGGAACAAAAGTGAACCGCGGCGGACTTTGTGCACCTCAGGAGATCACAAACGAAGATGTGCGTCGTGGCTTTGACTCTTGATGAGCGGTTGCCTGGCAACCTCGCAGCCGTTCGTTGAAACCAATTCAGAGTCTTCCATGAATCTCGCGTTATGTTTGTGTAAACCAAGAAAACTTTGTCTTGAAATTTTAGGGCTTGAACAGGTAAACAAATTCAAATTGACATTGACAACTGAGCTGAATGCAGTTTTCAAATTGCTGCAGTTAAGGAAGAAAAGAGAACCGCTGCTAAAGAGTCAATACACCAGATGGATTGATTCAAATCGGTTCAAATCCGGCCCGCGGAGCATGAAGATCTTGGAATGCCTCACTTGTGAGAGAAGGAAAAGAAAGCCCTTGAGGCATCTGTCGCCGCCATGTTTCACGAGTGTTCCCATTACTCGGCGCCAAACGCTTCAATGTCTGTGAGTGCATGTTTCGCAGTGTGCTTCGTTTCTTGGCTTGGGATAAATATGCAGAGGGAGCCTCGAATATTTATGTGCCAGTCCTCACGTGTCGTGTCGAAAAATCTGCATACATAAGATTCAAGACCACGTCTCCATCGTCCTTCTCCGTGACATGGCCGCATCCATCTGCTCTTCCGTGTTTTTGGGGGTCCAGACGGACTCTTTTTTTTTTTTTTCTTTTTTCCAGCCACACCATCCGACACAATCTGTTTCTAATTTCATTATTAGCGCCATTTTTCTTGGCAGCTTGCCTGGTGGAAAATGACACGGTTATTACACGGTTATAACTATGTTATAGCTACACATAACAAATCTCGCCATAATGACGCATGGAGAACTATTTTAACCACATGTGGCTGCTTGCCTGATTGATTTGCGACAACTTGAATTCGTGGTGGCTTTCATGAACAGCTTTGCTCCCTTTTTGTTGTCTTGAGTGAGATATACTTCATCTAAAACTAATTCAGTCTTCTGCATGACGACTAAATTTAGTGCATCTTATCTAGACTGGTTAGGATTCGAGGTGGGGCATAATATTGATATCATCGCACACTATCGCTCAGGGTTGTTGTTGTGAATGATTGGCATGATTTGTTTGGCCCAGTTTTGACACCAGCTGTCGGAAATAAATGATTACCCTTTCAGGTCAAGTCGTAAATGTAGGCAGGTCCGCGCTTGGCGTTCGTGTTTGGGCCGGCAGAGAAGGTCTGAGTGCAGGTCCTTGATAACAGCGTGCCCGTTTGCCCTCCTCAGGATATTGGAGCTTCAGGAAAAAGGCGACCTGGACATCTTGAAGCAGAAGTGGTGGCCAAAGAAGGGGCGCTGCGACCTGCAGAGCCACGCCGACGCCCAGACGGAGGGCAGGGCGCTGCACCTGCACAGTTTCGCCGGGGTCTTCTGCATCCTGGCGGCGGGGCTGCTGCTGGCCCTGCTGGTGGCCGCCCTGGAGACCTGGTGGAACAGCAACCACTGCCGGCGAAAGGAGCCCAAAGAGGTGACCGATGACAACTCGTCCGGCCCGGGCCCGGGTCCGAACCGGGCCGCCGCCGCCGCGGGTCCCCCTGCCCCACCGAGGCCCCGGTCGAGACCCAGACCCCCGGGCCCCCCGGTCCTGCCCAGAGACGCCACTGCCACACTCTACTTTATGGATCCGGCAAGCACAGACGCCAGCCCTGATTTAGTCGAGCTGCAGTACACGCAGTTATAATAGGTGTGCCCCGATGGTAGTCCCGACGTCATGTGATCGGTCTGTGATCATTCCTTCTCATGCCGGGAGAGTGCTTGGGGTGCTTTCGCTGTCGCTGTGGTTCTCTCTCTCTCTCTCTCCTCGGGAGCCAGCGCCGGATCGCTCGTGCCGGTGGGAGAGGACCGCAGCGGCAACCGTGAAGTGCGGTGGCGGGCCGTGCGTTTGCTACCTGGGCCTTCGGTCCCACTTGATCCACCTCTGAGACCCATAATGCGATTCAAGAGTCATTTTCTTCGAGTGAAAACCAAGACAATGAGCGCCCGAGTAAACGACTTCAATAGGTATGAATTGGAAGATGGGACACGCTAAGCCAGGGGTTCCCCTAGTCGGGTCCTCGAGAGCCCCTATCCAGACTGTTGTCGAAGTTTCCCCTCCTCCAACTCATCGGATTCAAACCATCAGCTCATCAGCGAGCTCTGAGAAGCCAAAAAAAACAATCCTGATCATTTGAATCCGGTGCGCTGCAGGAGGGAGACGTCGAAAACAGGCTGCAGAGGGGCTCTCGAGGACGGGACTTGGGCAACCCTGCGCTCAGCCATGTTTCCATTGACTTTGATGGCAAGATCGCCTCCACCAACATGGCCGCCACCTGTAACCAAGAGCGGCCAGTTCTGGACCCAACAGACTTTGATAGCGTCTGTCCAAAAAGGGGTCTTCGGTTTTGTCCCTGCAGCCCGCCAGAGGCCGTGCTCGGAACTCTTCGAACCGTGGTTCCATATTGTCACCGTTCTGTGGAAAAACGAGGATGTTCATTTTTGTCATTTTCATTTTATTTACGTTACGACATCCCGGTAACGTAAAAAAAAAAAATTCTTCAATGACAAAAATGGACAACGGTGTTCTTCACAGCACAGTGACGAGATGCAACTGTCGTGTTTGGTGCACTGGACCTTCTTTTCTGTCCATTGCCAGTGTCGTTATTTTGAAAAACTGCTCGATGTCACAGCGTTACGTGAAAGGCAAATAGTTTCCCAACTCGACTCGATCCGCCGCTGCCTTGAGCTTCCTATTTTTAAAGCTGTTGCTTTGGAGTCATTCATGTGACTCACAAATCCGACCTTGACGTGGAGCAGGATTTTTGCTGGGGAAACTGAATTTATATTCCATTCATGGCTACACAGGGAAACCTTTTTTTTTTTTTAATTGTGAAGTACTTTCTTTGCTTCTTTCCATATGTGGAAAAGCACTCGGAACGCAGGCCGTGTCACGCTACTTTTCATTTTTTGATGCCGCTGGCCGCTCGCAAAAATTGACGGGCCGCAAATGGCCCCGTGTCATAGTTTGGAGAACACCCTCCCGCTTTAGGCTGCAAATCCACTTCTTCTGATTGCATTTGCCAAACTCGACGGCCCACCACCTGACATGCTGTTCAAAAAAAAAACAAAAAAACAAGTCCCCCTTGTCCTCCTGGGTCGGTCCGCACTTGAGTGGTCCAAGAGCTCTCTTGCGCTCATCCATTCAAGTCTTAATGCCGTCGAGCTCGGACTTGCGCACGCGGCATCCAGACTACGAAGGCTTGACATGGATCCCTAAACTCAAGTGTGAGCACGAGCAGATGACGTAGAATCTCAGCCTCGACCCCCCCTCCCCCCGCCGCCTGTTTGCGCTTGACACGCAAGCGCCCGCCCCGCAAGAAGCGCCGCTTCAGGGAACCCTTTCGGTCCGGGTCCTGACCTGACCTGGTCGCAGTCTGTGGCGATTAGGACAGAAAAACCCTTCCAACGTCACCATTTTTTTTTTTTTTTTTTTTGCGGAATCGTTTTAACGATTAGAGACGCCGTGCTCTTGACCCGGGCAGGTCAGGAGCGGCTGGAAAAAAAATTCCTGCGTGGTGATTGGCTGTGTCAGGACACCAAAAAAAAAAGGGGGGAAGGAAAAGGGGACGGGGTTGGCGGGCTGGGACACGGGGCCGGCCGGGCAGGGGCAGATTCTAGTCGCTTCATCTGTCATCTCATTCCGTCGCCGTCTGTGTCGTCACCGCATGAGAGCGCAAACGCGAGGTGGACAAAGATGGCACGACTGGCAGCACCGATGAGCGTTCGGGAGGAGTTTGCACAAAAAGCGAAGCACAAAATGAGCTGCTTTTTGAGTGGCTTCAGAAAAATGGCAATTGATATCGATGAGGGTTGTGCAGCCGTCCAATAAAAGACGGTTTGATTCAATATAGGCTCCCTTAGAAATCAAAACCCATTGCTTTTTTTTTTCCAATTCAAGTCATTTTTTTATTGCACCCCGAAATTTTTGACAAAACCCCCAAAAGAGCGTGGAAAACTCCTCACGAGCTCAAGTTGCTCAGTTGTGTCCAAATTGCGCTTCACCTTTCCTTTGCCGTCATTTGTCGATGTTTTATGAATGTCTCTTTTTAAGTGTTGTGGACATTTCTGTCTTGGTTTTATTGTGTCGTAAAGAAGTGGTTCGCAAACTTTGTGGGTCCGGGGAC